AATGCCATTCTCTACTTTGTTCTGGACGACTGGGCATGGAGGAACGCAGTCAGCCTGAGCAGTTATTATTTTGGTTGTTGTCTTTGATGTGCCAAAGAAACGATGACATAGAAGCCCAGAGCCTGGCTTAGGAGCCAAAAGCTTGTTAGTGATTAGAGAGGGGCCCTGTGGAGTTTCCCATTGTGTGTGTAGAGTTCAGAGCTGCCAACTCTCTATCCTGGAGATTTGAGGACACTCTGAGCCCCCTGAGCTGGCACCCCTGGGAGCTGGGTATGTGGAAAGGGCCAGAAGCAGCTGGGTCTGCTTCTCACCAGGGTCCGAGTTAAGTTGTCCAGCCTGAAGTCTCCTCCCGCAGAGCAGTCTCCTGTGGGGCTCCATGCCCAAGCGTGCAGACTGGGTGTTTTGTCCTTCCAGGTCACCATTCTGCCAGACCCGGGGTTGCAGACTGTCAGACCATGGGTCAGGTCCAACCCCCAGACACGTTGAGTTGGACCCTCATGGTATTCTCCATTGGTAGTTGTTGCCAACCTTTGAAAACTAGTGGGTTTCGCAAAAAAATCTGGATTTCTGGATTCTCTTTAAAAAATTGGAAGATTTAGTAATGCTAGGTCTGCATTCCCACAGTTGGCTGGAGTCACAAAACCATAGCCATCATGGACCGAGCACAGCCTCTTCAGTTCCCCACTCTTCCTGCCTCTCCCTGAGGGACCCCACACTCAGCCAAGTCACCGGGTCTTTCATCCAATAGGCGGCAGAGTGATGTGGAAGTGTGGGTTTTACAGTCACACCATCTCCATTTAGATCCTGGCTTCACCCTCCTGAGCAGTGTCATCTTGGGAAAGTTACTTAGTCTCTTGGTGCCTCAATTGTCTATTTCTGTACAGTGGGGATAATATACAGCCTACCTCAGAGGGCTGATGTGTGGACTAAATGAGGTGAAATTAGAGTCACACCTGGTAAGCCCTTGATAACTGTTAGGTGTGGTGGTTGTTATTGTTACTATCCTGCTTCCCTTCATCCATTTACGTTGCCTGCCTGGCTGTCACAGCCATTTGAGTTTAGACTGAATTAGACTGAGCCCCTGAGGTTAAGGATCTGGTGTCTTCATCTTTTCATTAGTGGCTGTCCCAGTGCCTGGCACACAGTAGATGTGCCCAGCAAGCCTGTGTTGAGTGGCTGAATGAATGAGTTGGGAACATAGCAAGAGTAGGGGGTGCAGTGCAGCTGAGTGGTTTGGGGCATGGGCTTGGCTACTCTCAAATCCCTACTCTACCCTGATTAGTTCTTTAGCTTCTGTGCACCTCAGTTTCCTTACCTGTAAAATGGGCATAATAATGGTCTCTGCCACACAGCGTGGGAAAGGGCTGCGTAGGAGACTGTGTAAATCACTTGGTTTAGTCTGCACAGGTGGACCTTGGTGAGGTGTTGGTGTCATCATCTGACATCCATTCCTTCCTGTGGTTGTAACACCACTTTTTCCTTCCCTGTCCTTACTCTCCTTGCTTTCTCCCTGTTCCTCTGCATTCAGAGTTTCACTTTGGGGGCTGTAGCAGTCAAGATGCTTTCAGTTGCAGGTAATAGCTAGCCCCATTCAGCTAGCTTAAACAGTAAAGGGGAGATGTGGCCGGGGTAAAGGGAAAAGCTCAGAGGTAGGGCAGACACTGGCTCTCTCTCCTCTGTGATTTTCTTGGCTCAGCCATCCTCTGTGAGTGGGCTTCAGTCTTACGCTGGCTCCCCTAATGGTTGCAAGATGGTCATAAAGGCTCAATCTGGGTCGCTTGCCTGTGCCTGACCAATCGTGCGATCATGCTCATTGGCTCAGGACTGTTAGGACCCAGCCCTGGAACTGGAGCTGAGGTCTTACCTGACAAATTGCAAGTAACCAGTGAGAGACCTGAAGTTCCTTTCTGAGTTGTGGTAGCTGAGATATGCCAGTGGTGCTTTGTAGGCTGCTGGCTCCTCCTAGGCTGAGACCCAACACAGGCCATCGGAGATACCTGGGCGGGCACATTGGAGGGAGTGTCGCACCTTGGATCACATGTTTTTGTTGCCAAATATAGGATTGGGGAGGTTGGCATTAGTAAGAGTCACACCTCAATAGAGCTGGGAGGTCAGATCAGTCTCCTGAGACCAGGGAACAACACTCTGTCCCCGTGAGGACCAGCGGCCATTCTTCTGTGTGTGGATGTGTGTGGGTGCACGCGTGCTCTGGAGATTGACACTCCCGTGTCCCCCGAGGCTCCTGAGCAGGATCGATTGCCCCAGCTCTGTGGCCCTTGGAGTGACAGAGTGTAGCCTGGGCAACAATTTGGGGATGAAGGCCTCCCTGTATGTACACACTGCTCCAGAGAGAGCCCAGCTGTGTGAGTGAAGGCAGGCAGGGCTCGCTGAGCGTGGGTGGGTGGGTGGGCTTGTGTGAGACCGCTGAGTGCTGCTTTTAGCCTTTGGAGCCTGGGACTGTAAGAGAGTTGGGGGAAATCAGTAATAGGATGGCCTCTGATTCTGTGTAAGGACTCTGAAGCCGAGTGTGTGTGTGCGCGTGCGTGGCTTCCAGACAGCTGACTGGGTGGGTCTTGGCGGCAGACTACAGGATGTTGGATTGCATCCTGATTGTGTCACCCTTGGAAAAAGAGGATGAATAAACACATAGGCTTCTCTGCAAGCACAGCACGCCTTAAATTTTGGAGATTTTCAGTCTCGCCTGAAAAGAAAGCCCTAGACTAACTGTTCTGTCCTCCATTTGATCCTCAAGCTGCCACGAGCAGGTGGAACAGAGACCGAATAATGAAGCTCTGTGTAAGGTGGGCAGATACCCCTGATGCTGTGGCAGTAAAGACAGTGTTCAGTAATTTATAAGTGGTGGTGTTGTCTAGCACATTGGACACAGTGGTGGGAGGGTGGGAAGTGGGAAAGCTGACCTCCCCCAGCCTGCAGCCCACTTCAAGGAGCTCATGGAACAGTTGGAGAATCATGATGCATATAAAAAGGACAACTAATAGTGCAAGGAAATGGGGTCACAGCCAAGTGAGGGGTCTGGAATGTGAGTACTTGGGGGCCAGGTCAAAGCAGGTGCCAGGGAAAGGTAGAGTGAGCTCTGGAGCCTGGGGAAGGTGTCACGTTTGAAAAGTATATCCAGAGATAACCAGCTGGGCAGGAACCAAGCCTGTGGAAAAGGTCTCAGATGGTAAAGGGCCCGGAATGCCATGCTAGGGGGTTTGAACCAGACCCAGCACTTCCTATGCTCCATTTACTGGTTTTGATGTGGCTACCAGTGAGAGGAAGCTGCCTTTGGGCCTCTTTGTTGTTATGTTTGCAGCCCTGGGGGGACCTGGGCTTGATTGGGAAGGTTGTGACTCATTCCCCTGGGGATGGGGGCAGGGAGAAAGGGTCAGCTATAAGAGCAGAGGCTCTGTTGAAAGAGGGTCATTGGAGGGAACCACTCAGGGGTAACTCTGACTTATTCAAGGGGTTAGTACAGCTGCCCGGAGGGGCCACGTGGGGTCTAGGCTGCCCACACACACACGTGGGAGTCTTTGGTGCAGGGATGCCATGACTGAGCTGGAGGAGGGGCCTGGGGGAAGGGGCAGGTAGGCATAATTAATGAAGAAGAGAGGGTTGGGTTTGAGTGCCAAGGGGCTCTGGTTGGGAGGAAAGAATGGTCAGAGGGTTCAGGCTGAGGCTGCAGAGAGGTCGGGGGAGCACAGATGCTCAGGAGATCCCTGTGCTGGAGGGCAGGGAGCCAGGGCCCTACTCTCTGGTCCTCAGCCCTCTCTGCTCACTGTGCCTGTACCCACACAAGGGCTGCCACTGTCCTAATCAGTGCTTCTGGGACTGTCTTCAGTTGGGTCTGTTTCCTCCCCTCAGGAGCTGTGAGCTGGATGGCAGGATGAGACTCAGACCCACTGTCCTGTCCTGTCCTGTCCTGTCCTTGCTCTGTCTAGCCAGCAGTCAGGGCAGAGGGGCTTGGGAACAGAGGAGGCATGCTTCTGCCCTACACGGAGCTGTCTGGGGCCTGCCCTCGAGAGGACCCAAACCTGGGGAGGATGAGCCTGGGAACCTTCCGTCAGAGGACAGCATTCCACCCCCATTCCCAGGGAAGCAAAGAATCCACACAAATTGGAGCCTGACCTTGACCCTCTGCTTTGGGTCCCGGTGGGTTCTTTTTATAGTGCTGTGGGCCAGCTCACTGGCCCCTGTTCGCTCAGGACCTGCTGCCCGCCGCTCTGGGCAGGCCTCCACATTCTCATCCAGAATCCTCTGTCTAAGCAACTAAGACGGGTGGGGCTGGGAGGATGGCAGGAGCCAGAGCCTGGGAGTCCCTACAGAGTACCACTGAGGCCTCAGAGTCACAATGCCCCAGAGACTGGTCCTGAGACCCAGTGGTGGGTCCGAGTGAGCGCTGGCCCCTTCAGCAGGGCCCACGTGTGCATTCCATGCTTGGGTGTGTGAGGAGCAAGGGGTGCCCGTGGAGGACTATGAGCCCAGCCTGATGGGAGAGGCCCCCCGATAGTGCGAGTGTGAGGGGGTCAGGCCAGACCTGCCTCTGCTTGAGTCCTGCTTCAGTAGGAAGGGGCCACAGGAACATACACACCCTCTAATCTTGGCCTTTTGAAATCTTCGTTTAAGATCCAGAGACCATCTGGGGCCTCCTCCTGGGCAGGAGGGCAGGTGAGCCCTCGGGTAGCAGCCATAGGTCTTGGGGCTACCTGCCAGGAGACACCTCAGGCGTAGACATTCCTCGCCAGCCCAGGAGGAGCAAAGCCACAGGTGAAAGGGTCTTTTCCCAGATAGAGTCATGGGTCCTGAGGCCCTGGGGCTTCCTCTGTGGAAACTTGGCCTGGAATTGGAGCTCTGATGCACTCACGATGCGTCCTGAGATGTGCTGAGAATTGAAACAAGGTTGGCGGTGGCGGGGGGTGTGTGTGACTCAGGTTTAGCCCCCCTGCTACTTGGCCCCTCTTCCCTAGTGGGCTCACTGCCTCTCTCCTCTCTCTTGGCAGAATGCAGAGCCAGAGCCCCGGAGCCTCTCCCTGGGTGGCCATGTGGGTTTCGACAGCCTCCCTGACCAGCTGGTCAGCAAGTCGGTCACTCAGGGTTTCAGCTTCAACATCCTCTGTGTGGGTGAGTGTCATGCCTGGCCAGGGGGCAGCCTCAGACAGAGGACAGACGTGGGTCTTCTGGGAGATGGGGTGCTGCTGCCCTGACCACCTGCAAGGGGACCTCTCAGGCAGAGTGACACTTTGGGGGGTCAGGACGAGCCTTTGGTGGGTGTCTCTGCCAGGGTCAAAGATAGAGGTGGAGCCAGGGCCTGATTCAGTGTTGCCATGAAGAGTAAACTTGGAAAGAGTAAAAAGCTTAGAAGTGCTTTGAGTGTTTATCACAGTGGTTGGGATCCATTTGTTTGTTTGTTTATTTAAAAAACAGCTATTGTTGTTCCTACTATGTGTCAAGGACACTATGGTAAACCAGACTGTCCCTGCATTACAGTGTTATGTAGTAAGAGCTCCAGTACACATCTAAACAAATACAGCCCCCAACAGGGAGGCTCTGGAAGGTTCCATGTGCCTCAGGGCCTGGGGCTCCCAGAGGGGACAAAAAGCTCTGCCAGACCCTCTACAGGTGCCCAAGCCCTGGCATCTGCCAGGCTGTGGGTGCCCCTTGGAAAGCAGCCTTTCCTGAACCTCTCCCCTCCCATTAAAGCTTCATGAAGTTGGGGCCACCCACAGCAGGTGGGCTGAGCCACTGGTGGCTTCAGACCCTGACCCTGCTGGCCCCATGACCTTCCTGGGCCCAGGAGGGATGGTGTGCAGAGCAGGTGACCGGGTCCCACTGAGGCCAGCAGAGGCCAGTGTCTAGTGGTATCTCACAACTACCTGGCTTTGTCTCTTCCCCACGCTCTGAGGAAACACCTACACACCCCACGTAGCCACGTCTTATGTCCAAGTCAGCCTTTTGGGTCTTCCTTCCATGTATTATTTCTGAGGCCACTGAGAAGGGATGGTTCATGGGGCTGGGGACAGTGGGGGATGGAGTGGGAGACCTGCCCCCCTCTCTTGTACAGAGGCCGAGGGTGCCTGAGCACCACCTGGCTTACCCAACAGCCAGGGACGGCCCCAGTTCCAGCCTTTGACATCCCCTCTGCCCACTCCTTGCCCCCCAGGGGAGACTGGCATTGGCAAGTCCACACTGATGAACACGCTCTTCAACACGACCTTTGAGACCGAGGAAGCCAGTCACCATGAGGAGTGTGTGCGCCTGTGGCCCCAGACCTACGACCTCCAAGAGAGCAACGTGCAGCTCAAGCTGACCATCGTGGATGCCGTGGGCTTCGGGGATCAGATCAATAAGGATGAGAGGCAAGCGGCAGGAAGGGCGGCCCGCCTGGTCTCTTCCCCGTCCCTCCACGTTGGCCGTGGTTCTAACACTCTGCCCGAGTGCTCTGCACTCCTCACTGCCTCAGACAAGTAACCAAGCCCGCACTCCATGGGGGCCAGGGGAGGGCCGTTAGGAGAATATCTAAGGTCCTGAGGACCCCTTGGGGGACCAGGAGAAGGGGTCAGCCACCTGTACCCAGACAGGGATCCCCAGGTAGCAGCTGTTCGTTCCCACAGAGAGAAGGCTGGCGGGCAGCCTGGCTGGGCTCCAGGCCTTGCACCGCGGCTCTGCTGCCTGCCTTCCAGTGACGGAGCCGTCTGTAGTTACAGGCCCATAGTCGACTACATCGATGCGCAGTTTGAAAACTACCTGCAGGAGGAGCTGAAGATCCGCCGTTCGCTATTCGACTACCATGACACGAGGATCCACGTCTGCCTCTACTTCATCACGCCCACGGGGCACTCCCTCAAATCCCTGGATCTGGTGACCATGAAGAAACTAGACAGCAAGGTCTGGCCCCCCTCCAGCTGATTCTGTGGGCTCCCCATCTTCCACAGAGGTGGGGTGTGGTTGGGGGCTTGCAGACAGCCCCCTGGGCTTGGTCCTCTTTGTGTCTTCTCTTGCATCTGTCCCTATGGCTCCAGCCAGCCCCCATTGCTCTGGGCTCTTTCTCTAGATCTCTGTCCCCTGCGTCTGGCCCTGAGCCCATTCCTTCCAGCTGAGTTGATTCTTATTCGCAGCCTGCTAGCTCCTGGCATCCTCCCCATCCCTCTAGAGTTACCTCCCCACCTCGCCCCCCCCCCCACCCCGTCCCTCTGCCCCTCTGACCCCACCTCCCCAGAGCATCCCAATTCTCTGCTCATTTTCTCTCTCTCAATTCCTAGTTCCTCTGCTGCCTTCACTTCCCCTGTCCTTCCTGCCGTGGCTTTCCCTTGGGGTCCTCCTGAGCACAGTAGAGACAGGAGAGTTAAGCCCCAGAATTAGAGTAGGAATGAGGAGTGGGTATTAAAAGGGCAGCTTCATGGGAATGACAGGAATGGCATGGGGTCCTGGAGGGTGTGCAGCCCCAGAGTCACCTGTCAGCTCTCACGTGACTGCTCCCCTCTCTCAGGAGTTAATTTTCACTGTGAACAATGGGATAACCTTGGCCTGGGAGATTTTGAGGTCTTCCTGTGGCTACTGCTAATGGGTCATCTAACCTGTTTTGGGGGTGCTCAGCCCCCTACTGCTGGTCCTGTCAGGCCCCACACCGGTTAAGACCTTCAGAGCACTCTGGGTGAAAGCTGGGTATGCCCAAGGGACTAATTTGGGGCTGGATGGAGGTTTGGGGCAGCCAGGGCGGTAAGAAACACTGCAGCCAATTGTTACAACCCGTCAGAATGGCCCCAGCTGGCTGGGTTCAGGCCAGGACACCCCTTAGGAGCAGCTCCATCTCTCTGGCTTCCTGCCCGCCTGCCCAGGGGTGTGGCCTGAGCAGGGCTCTCCACAGTCAAGGAGCAACTCACCTGCTGACCCCTCTCCTCAATCCTGGCAGGTGAACATTATTCCCATCATCGCCAAAGCGGACACCATTTCCAAGAGTGAGCTCCACAAGTTCAAGATCAAGATCATGGGTGAGCTGGTCAGCAATGGGGTCCAGATCTACCAGTTTCCCACGGATGATGAAGCTGTTGCAGAGATTAATGCGGTCATGAATGTGAGTGTTGGGCAAGGGCCTTGGGGCTCTGGGGCCAGAGGGCTTGGAGCCGGCCCCAGGCCACTCTCTTTTCCCTGGGTTTCAACCTTAGCTCTTCAGGAAAGATGGGTGGGCATCTGGGAGCCGGCCAGTCCTGCATCCTCTGGACAGGAGATGGGAAGAATTGGGTATTGGGCTGGTACCGGGGCATCCCAGGTTTAAGTTTCCCAAGGTACAAACTCAGGGCTGGGACCTGAGACCTGCAGGAGCAAGCAGGCAGGATGCCAGGGCTTGGGAACTTGGAAGAGAGCCAGGCCCACAGGTCGTTTGAGAGAGCTTCTAGTGGCCCCTGGGGAGCCCAAGGGCTGAAAGAACACCCTAGAACAAGAGGAAAGGGGTTGCGGGTTCAGCCCACTCCCTTGTGTGGAGGTTCCAGGATACTTCTCCAAAGGAAAGCCGTCAAGTGAGCATCTGGCCAGGCCTTGTTCAGGTCTGGGCAACCCCTCCCTGGGGCCCAGGGGCAGTGAGGGTGGGTCTGTCCATTAGCCTGTGTCAGCTCAGTGCTCATGCACACTTGGGCCCCTTTCCAGGCACACCTGCCCTTTGCCGTGGTGGGCAGCACCGAGGAGGTGAAGGTGGGGAACAAGCTGGTGCGAGCGCGGCAGTACCCTTGGGGCGTGGTGCAGGGTGAGTGTGGTGGTGAGAGCACAGCCCCGGCTGGGGACCCGGACTCAGTCCCCTGTCCTGTGTCCTCGCCGTGACCATCTGCTGCCTGTCCTCCCTCTGGAGTCTACCTCTAACACCCTAACCGCTGTCCTGTGCCCCGTCCTTCCTGTGCTGGTGGTTGGGAGCCTGTCTGATGCCCACGTGCTCTCTCCTTTCAGTGGAGAACGAAAATCACTGCGACTTCGTGAAGCTCCGGGAGATGTTGATCCGGGTGAACATGGAGGACCTCCGCGAGCAGACCCACAGTCGGCACTACGAGCTCTACCGGCGCTGCAAGTTGGAGGAGATGGGCTTCCAGGACAGTGATGGTGACAGCCAGCCTTTCAGGTGACAGCCTGTCTCCCCAGCCACAGCCAGGCTTGCCACGTCGGCATCTGTTCTGGGGGCTTGTGAGCCGGGGAGGCTGTTGGGACCCCAGCATCCTCTCCCCCCGATCCCCCATGCCCACGTGATTTCGCTTCTCTGGCTCTGCCCACTCCGTTCCACCATAATCCCCGCGTTGGCCTCTTTTCTCTGGGTCTCCTCAGCCTACAGGAGACATACGAGGCCAAGAGGAAGGAATTCCTGAGCGAGCTGCAGAGGAAGGAGGAGGAGATGAGGCAGATGTTCGTCCACAAAGTGAAGGAGACGGAGCTGGAGTTGAAGGAGAAGGAGAGAGAGGTGTGTGCGGGGCCTGAGGGTTGTGGTGAGGCCAGGCCAGGGAGGGCCCGGGCTCCTTCTGGGCCCACATGAAGCCCGGCCTCCCCGCCTTCTGCTCCCAGCTCCACGAGAAGTTTGAACACCTCAAGCGGGTCCACCAGGAAGAGAAGCGCAAGGTGGAGGAGAAGCGCCGGGAACTGGAGGAGGAGACCAACGCCTTCAACCGCAGGAAGGCGGCGGTGGAGGCCCTGCAGTCTCAGGCCCTGCCCGCCACCTCGCAGCAGCCTCTGAGGAAGGACAAGGACAAGAAGAAGTAGGTGGCGGGCTCCCTGCCCTGCGCTGGCTCGCTCCCTCTCTCTCTCGCGGGCTCACCATTTCGCTCTCTCCTTTCACTTGCTCTCCCACCTCATTCTTGCTCACCTTTCTTCTTTCACTAGTGATCTTCTTATCTCAAGATATCAAGCATTCATGCCCACTCTTGTATTTGTGCATGAGTGGCCCCTCTCTCCCTCTTCTACCCCACACCCCGTTTCTCTCTCTGTGTGTCTTTCTCTCTCTCTCCTGCAGCCCCCTCGAGAGCTGGGTGGAGAAGGCTGGGCCACACAGGCAGGAAGTGGCCCCCGAGAGGGTGTAGGGTCTCAGGGAAAGTCTTCCAGGCCAGGAGACGGTCAGGGCCTGGGAATGTTAGCATTTCTGGGCAGATTCCAAAAGCTCCTGTGGTTTCTGCTTGGACAGCCATGGTGCCTCCCCCTCAGTCCTGAAGCTGTGGATGTGGGCCCCATATTGGCAGGCAGGTGGTGACTAAGGACAGTGGAGACTTGAGCCCAGCCAGCACTGACCCCCTGGACACTATGATCTTGACCTGCTAAAGGAAGGACAGCAGCTCCCTGTAGGGGCCCTGTGAGTCCTACTGGAGAGGGGGCTGCCCCTCAAGTAGAGGCTGGAGTTGTTCCTCCAAGAGTACTCAGAGGAGAGAGAATTATAGGGGATGGGGCGGAGGCTTTTCCAGGAGTGCAGTCAACTTTTGGCCAGGTGGGGGCCACTCTTAAGTCCCTTCTCCTTGGTGTTTTTCATAGCCTGTTTCCACACTCACATCTGGAGTCCAGATGCCCTGGCTCCCGGGGAGTCTCACTCTCCCGCCCACTTCATTCAGTGTCCCACACAGCATCACACCGTGGGGATCTCGTCTGTCCCTGCTTCTCCCTGCCCCTGGTCTGTGTCAGGTACCTTCCTTCTCTTGCCAGGTACCCATCTTGGTCCTCATTCTTGTTCTTCTTGGAATTCCATTTCCTCCTGGAGTGTTTGGGAATGTGTGTGTCCAGGCACTTCCTTCCTTGGTGGCGATGGAGCCTTGTGGTTAGGGCCATGCAGCGCATGGCTAGCTGTGGCCCTGGGATGCTGCTTGTGGCCTTAGCCTTCCACCTGCCCCCCCAATATTGTGCTCCCTAACACACACACACGCATGACACACACATGTACACTGTCTTCCTCTCTCCTGCCCCATCACATACATAGACTCAGATACATATCTACTAACACACACAGTCCCCAAGGCGCACACGCACAGAGGCACAGACACATCTAAGGAAGGTAAACTTAAGGAGCTTCTGGGGGAGACCAGGGGGACAAAGCTAGGCATTTAGGAGCTGGATGCTAGTTCTCATTCCCGAGGCCTGTCTTCTGCTTTGGAATAGACCCTGTAGTTTCCCGCATCCTGCTGACTGGTGGCTCCACCCCAGCTGCTGGCACGGCTGTGACAGATAAGCCCCTGCTCGTCCCCAGGGAGGACCCCAGCCCCACACTCCCCTCAGCCATGTAAATTTCCCTTCTGCTTTCCATTTGCTTCCAGCCCTGGTCCCATGTCCAGGTCTTGGTGAGCTCGGTGAGTGTGAGGGCTCTGTGAATTGGAACCTGTGTGGATTTCAAGCTAATGGCTCAGAAATCTGGTTTTTCCTGGGAGTGGGTATGCCACTCTATGAACCACATGCTGGCTCCTGAATTGACTTTGCTGTGCTCCCTGCCAGCTTATCCCAGGCCATCTTGTTTAAAAAAAAAAAAAAAAGGCAGGCAGAGTCCCCTAGGAAGTAAGCTATGGAGAAACCCCTCAAAAACAGAAGATCAAAGACCCATGGCCAGGTCAGGGGATGAGGGCCAATGGGGTGGGGTGCAGGCTGGCTGCAAGGGCTCCAGCACAGCTCAGGGTGGGGCTCATCACTGGTGTCAGGTCTCCCTGCTTTTTTCATGTGACCTGGGCCTGGAAAACAGGTCTTTTCTGTTTGCTGGACATTCAAGAAAGCTTCAATCAGTTTGGCCTCTGGGAGAGAGCCCTCTCCTCCAATGCTGGCCTTGTGGAGGCCAGGAGTGGGGTAGGTGGGGTGGCTGGGAGCACCCCTTCCCCCCGCCCTGGTCAGGGGAATGGGATGAGTCAGGAGTGCGTTTGGGGGGACATTTTTTTGTGACCATTTAGTTGAATGGCTTTGACTGACTGTACTTATTCTTCAAATTTTAATATTCATCTTTGCAAAATTACTTCCCTATCCGACCCTCAGCCTGGGATGCCATAAACTGAAGCGAATTCTCTGCTTTGCTTGTTACAAATGCCAAACTGACTGTCATTTCCCAGTGTTCATCTTGCTGTCTTTTGCTTCTGTTTGATTTCGTCGTCTGTGTACCTTTTAATGTGTCTGTTTTTGTTCTGTTTGTTTTATTTTTATTTTTCAGTTAACGCACGCACAGACTTACATGTCAAGAGTGGACTTTAGACTTTCATGTGTTAAGTTGCTTGAGTTACACCTTGTGACCCTTCTCCCATAACATGGTGTGAGGACGGACTGGGAGCTGGTACAGACTCCAGTGTTTACAGCCTTGCTTTGTCGTCCCCGCCCCCCACCCCGCCATCCCCCAGGCTGCCTGGGCCTGGCGGGCCGCCCTCTCTATGCAAACTCGTTAAAGCCATGAATGCTGGAATCCAAAACTGATGAGGTTTATTTTTTTCAGAGGCAGTGGCTGGTCTTCCATTTACAGTGTCACTATTCCTTGACGGAGCAGTTTTGTGCCACTCTAGCGAAGGCCCCAGCCGGCGATGCTCGGCCTAATTGTTCAGCGTCAAGATGGCAACTCATGCAGTGCCCTAGGTGTGGCCACGTGGTGTGGTATACATGCTGCAAATTCGCCTGGTTTCCCTTCATTTTAATTTTTCTAACCTAGAGCTTAATTTCAATAATAACTTTTAAAGCACTTCTAAATTTTTATTTTGGCACGAGCATAAAGACAAATAATACCCTCTCCCATTATTTTCATAAGTAACAGATTCCCTGATTTTTAAAAACTAAAAATATCTCTAAACCTTTCTTATGTATAAAGTATCCCTATAAAATATAGGGAGAGGTGGATAATAAACATCCTGTAATGAGACTGTTTGGAACTTCTTTATGGATGAAAGTGGATCATGAACAAGACCACGTCCAGTGTTTTTACTGTGAATGTAAATGGAACAGCAGCCCAAAGCCATTGTCTCTGTGCCCCAGAGGTGCTACCTGTAAACATGGACCAACCCCATGTGTGTGTGTTAAGTGTTTGACTCTGTTTAACTAAGACCCCCAAACCAATTCTGCATATTCCAAATGCAAGAGTGTTCAGCGGGAACAGGTTTTTCTCCAGGTCATTGTTTCCTTTTTCTTGGCTGAGTCACAGGGAAAG